CAGCAAGGACAAGAAGTATGTGTGCAAGTTGTGCAGCCGTGTGTTCATGTCGGCCGCCAGCGTGGGCATCAAGCACGGCTCGCGGCGCCACGGCGTATGTGCCGACTGCGCGGGCCGAGGCGTGGCCGGGCCCCTGGACGGTGGTGGCACGGAGGGCTCCCCCGAGCTGTTCCCTGGCGATGGGCCCTACCTGGAAGACCCCGACGACCCGCGGGGGGAGGGCGAGGAGGAGCTGTGTGAGGACGAGGATGAGGTGGGCCTGGCCCACGAGGACGCGCTGCTGGCGGCCGAGAAGGAGGACGAGGACTCGCCGCGGGGACCCGGCAGCCCCCCGGGGGCGCCCGACAAGGACTTCTGGATCTCCTAGGCCGCGGGTTGGGGGCGGGGGCGGGGGCGGTGCCACCCCTCCAGTGCGCGCGCGTGCGTGTGTGCGGGCGTGTGTGTGTCCGTGTGCATGTGTGCGCGCGTGCGTGTGCATGTGCGTGTCCCTAGGGATGTGCTCTCGCCTGGGGCCTGGCCACGCTGAGCCCCTTTATTCTGCTCCTGCCCCAGACACACACACAGAAACCGGCCCCGCGGGGTCGGAAGCAGGCATGACCCCAGCAAGTAAGGGCTCCGGGACCGAACAGGATGTTGGGGGGCACAGGGTGGGTTTGAGCAGAGGGAGGGCACACGTTCCCTCGTGTCTGCGGGGACCAAGGCAGGGTCCCCAGCAGGGGCGTGTAGCTAGGGCACGCACGATGGCCCGATGGCCGGGTCAAGGTCGGGGCTGGTCGGGGTCATGAGCGTGGTCCCCGAGGCCACAGGTCCAAGGGGTGTTAAGGAAGGTGCTGCATACACCCGATGTCCAGTGCTGGAGTCTCCCCCCGCCCCCTGCTCTGCTCCCCCTTTCTCAGCAGCCTGGTCACTGCCTGCAGCCACCACCGCAGCCTTCTGCCGCTGCTGTGGCGGCCCGCGGAATCCAGGTCCAGTGTACAGAAAGCCCCGTGGCCCTCCTGCCTCTGGGCTTTGGTGCTTCACATACAACAGCTGCAGAAGCCCCTGCCGGGGCCGAGGACTCCCAGGTGCTATCATCCGGTGGAGGCCGCCAGGTGGGGACCGACGTGCCACGCTCCTCTGGTGCAGGGCTCAGCGCGCCCCGCTGCTGGCCACTCAGGGCCCTTTGGGGCGCCCGGGCTCTTCGTTCCGCGTGCACTTCCTTGGGGAGCCCGGGGGCGGCCTCGTCCCCTCGGCTCTGCCGTCCTTCGTGCCCAGGCCCCTCCTGCCGGCCCCTCCTGGGTGCCCTTGCCTTGTTGCTGCTAACACTGGAGGTGGGGATCCTGACAGCCGTGCCGCCTCCCCGCGTGGGTAACCAAACTTTTTAAGTCGTCAGAGACATAGTTGAGGTAGTTAGATAAAATTATTTTGTTTGGCATTATTTTTCTGACGTGACAAAACCTAGCGTCTTTCCTTCAGCTTGTCAGTCCTTCTGTTGTCTTTGTAGATGAGCTCACCGCCTCTTTGTGATCTGGTTTTTTCTGAGTGAAAAGCAAGGGCCCCGCTGTGAGGACCCTCCCCTGGGCCGCAGGACCCGCCCTGGTCTGTCCCCTTCCCCGGTAAGGCCGTCGCGGACCACACTTCACTACTCAGACATTCCGTCCTGCGCCCGCACGGCTCAGGCGCAGGCAGGGCCCGTCCGGGCACGAGCCCCGCTGAGGGCAGTGTTTCTACGTTCTCTTTTTCCACGGACTGTAAGCTTCTACCAGGCTGGTCACCGTGTCACATCTATTCTTTTTAGGTGGAAAAAGGAGAATCCCCCGAGCCCCTAATTTAGGTTCCGGGGGTGGCCTGGAGCGCTCGCCTCCCTGGCTGCCGCTGGGCTGCCGGGGGCCTTCTGTGCGTGTTTTCAGTATCATCGATTAGAGGGCGTGGACAGAGCCGGCCACCGGCCGCCCGCGCTCCTGTCCCCCGAGGGGGCGTGGGGAGCCCTCGCGGGCAGCCCTGCCGGCTCTTCCTGACACGGCGGGTGGGGGTTGGGGGGCGAGGCCAGTGCAGGGGCTCTGGGACCCACTTCCCTTGCTGCCTTTCTCCAGTGAGGCCCCGGGCTGCACCCCTCACAGGGCCCTCAGAACTGTGTACCTCCCCGACTTTCTGACCCCTTTTCTAAACAGACCTACTTTCTTATAAATGTATTTGGAAACCAGACCTTTGCTACCAACAGTGTCTCTGGGTTTTGTCCCGGTCCCACCGCTCAGGCCGTCCTGCCCACACCCTGGGCCATCTCTGCCTCCGCACTCAGGACATCTCGCTCTTTCCGACCCGCTCGCTCCCTGCTTTGGACCACCCTTGCTGACCTTTTTGGAGGGTCGCTCTCAGTGCCACAGGGGCATTTTCTTCCTTAAAACCAATACTGTACTGGAAAACCGAGGGCTCCACTCCTGCCCACCAAGTTCGCAAGGCGTGTGCTGCAAGGCAGGCTCGCCGTCCTACGCAGTTTGCCGCCGTCGACGGAAATGAAGGCATCCCCTCTCAGGAGGCGTGGAGGGAAAAGACGTGTAATGAAGGGTTTTTTTACGTGACTGGTTTTTTTTTAAATCAATGTTTAAACTAATAAATATTTTTTTATGAAGAGGAGAAAAATGTGTAGATTACATTTCACGTTTTGTACTTTTTTGTTTGTGTCTGTCTGTATTTTGGTGTTTGCAACACCAAAGTGGAAAATGCAGTCTGTTGAGTGGTGAGTTCTTTGGGGTGGGGGGGGCAGGGAACCCGTATGACTTTTGTATCAAGCTCTGGATCCCGACCAGGTTGTATATTTGGACTCTGGGTTTTGGGAAACAGTCATAACACTGCCAGGACTGAATAGGGACCTCGACTCAAGAGACACGGCTACTCCTTCCAACTTTGCACATCTTCCTTTTTAAAAAAGAAACTGAGAAAAGGCAAAAACTGGAACTTTTTGCAGTATGATGAAAGATAATCTTATTTTCGCTCATTCTGTGACACGTGCAACGCTGAAGAAAGCCATACTTACTGGTGGTTTTTACTTTTTAGGTTCTATATTGTGTTTGTGTGTGTGGCCCTTTCAGAACCACTCGTAGTGAGGGTGCTGTGTGTGTGCTTTTCTGAAATATTTATTTTTTCAACATGCTTTCAACCTGTCAACAAAAACAAAACAAACAAGGGCAGTGTTTGAAAATTGTTGGTTTTCTTTCCCTTGGGGATAATCTATAGCATATCAACTTTATATTATCATAAACCTGTGTTTGTATTGGAGATGTGTTTAATATTTGGGAGAAGAGACTTTGGTGATCGGCTGGCAGAAAATCGCAGCTGTTGCAGTCCGTAGCCACAGGGCAGGTGGACGGCACCTTCCTGTCTGTCGGGGCGAGCTCTGGGCCTGCCTGGGGGTCTCCTTCCTGTGACGGGTTAGCTTCGACCTTCTTGCAAAGCTTCCACTTTCAATAAACTGGGAAATTGCTGCTCAAGCGGACGCCTCGTGAGTGTTTCACAGTGTCCCCTCCTCCTGTGTCAGGGAGTGAGCCCTCTGCGGTCTGTTGGCTGGCCTCCCTGGTCTGCCCACCCACCACCCCTGCCTCTGGCAGGATCTCAGTTCCCCCCAGGAGGCAGACACGGCTTCTGGAAAAACCCCAAATCTTTAATTTTTCTCCTTGCCTGGCGCGGCCCAGACTCGAGACACCTGAGCTTCGCAAACAAGATACAAACGTCAGCGCCCGGGGCCCTCGAACCATCGGGTTAAGTGCGGGCAGGGGAGGCCCCTCCCTGACACCCCTCAAAGTGCATCACAGACCGGCCCCCATGTGGCCCTGAAGTTGGCCCATCAGCACCCTGACGAGTCCATGGGCTGACAGACAGGGAGGGCGGCCACCCCCAGGGACCCCGGGCCAAGGGGACAGCCGTGAGGTTTGGCTTTAGTGCAAAAGGCTGGTTTCTTCAGAGGCACTTTGAGTGGTGGGACCCCCCCCACAAACCTCTGGGGGTCCAGGGTCACCGAACTTCCCCCACCGATAAAAAGCAGACCCTGCCGCAGGAGGAGCGCCTGGCTGGGGGCTGGGGGTAGCTTATTTTCTCCTCGGCAGAGTCCTGGGGAGCGGGGCAGCAGCCTGGGGTGGGCACGGGCGCGCATGCTCAGTCCAGGAAGCGCTGGCACGCCTTCTTCCAGCGGCAGGCTGTGCACCACAGGTCCCGGTGCTCCATGCCGTACACCTTCCGGCACTTCTTGGCGTCACCCCGGGGCTTCCTGGGGGGACGCAGAGGAGATGCGGCGGGCTCATGCTAGGCCGGGACCCTCCCTGCCGGACACCTGCCCCGGCCCCTCAACACGCACGCACCTTGGGTTGGCGCCAAGCTTGGAGGGCAGGGTTGGCACACAGGTCCTGACGGTGGTGGGCCGTGGCTCCAGGCGGATGGGGGCCAGGCAGCCCTGAGAGGAGACACAGCTGTGTCCTCTCCCCCGTCCCGAGCACCCCGAGACTCACCCCGAGCTGCTGCCTGTGGCCTCACCCACCTGGAAGGTGTTGTCACCGTGGCACACCTCAGGGGGTGCCGCAGAGCTCAGCACGGGGACTGGGGGCAGGGCCAGCGGCCGCAGCAGGCTGGACAGGGTCGGGGGCTCTGGCAGCTGCAGGCGGGGGAAGGCCGGTGGCGCGGAGGCTGTGGGGGACGCTGGGGACAGGCTGGACAGCCCGTCTGCCAGCACATCCATGCCAACGTCCAGCTCTGTGTAGTAGAAGTCCTCCTCACCGTCGCTCTGCTCTGGCTCTGCCTGCCGCCTGCGGGGGACACAGTGGGTGGGAGCTGAAGCCTTGGTCCACCTGGCTTGCCCCACCCCCCCCACCAGCCCCACCGCACCCCAGGTGCACCAGGCGGATGTGTCTCTGCATCCCGGAGGCCGTGCTCAGCACCTTCCCACACCGCTTCCACAGACACTGGAACAGGACCTGCACTGAGCTCTGGGTGACAAGGGCTGGTGGTCAGGCATGGCCACCGCGTCCACCCCGCCCTGAGGGCTGCCTCAGGCTCACCTTCCTCTTCCTTGGGGCAGGTTCCCCAAATAGGAAATGGGCTGCCTCAGAGGGCAGTGGGGGTGATGGGGTAGATGGAGAGGACTGGTCGCTGGCCAGGTCCCAGCCCCAGTCTCCACTGCAGCTGCCCAGTGGCCGCACCAGGGCCTCCTTCCAGGGCTCCAAGCCAGGCTCTGTGGGGACACACCGGCAGCCGTGTTAGGGCTTCCGTCGGGCTCGGGCTGCTCTTCAGAGGCTGCCGCTGCAAGCCCCTTAACTCTGCGCCTCCGCCCGTTCACCTGGTCACGGATGAGCCATGTCTTTTGGAGGAAGCAGTGGCCGGGAGGACTAGCCTCCTCAACACAGGGACATCCTGTGTGGGGAGACGCCTGGCCAGCCAGGGGGAAATGGACAGGTCACAGGCCCGCAGACTGGGACACACTGAGAGGCACTGGGGGTCCTGATGTCTGTCTCAGGCCTCAAGAGGTCTATTTAGAAGGTGGTGTTCCAGGCAAAGAGGTTCTGCTTGCCCCAAGGGGTGGGCAACCACAGGGTCCCGGAGACCCCAGGCCAGGTGTCTCAGTCTCACCTGGGCTACAGGCTGCAGCTGGGGCCCCCAGCAGGAGGGGACTGGTGGACAGACTTGTGAGGGCAGCCGCAGCCATGACCTCATCCAGTCGGGATTTTCCCGGGGGGGCTCTGGAAGAGATGTGGGTGGCGTCCAGCAAGTACTCCAAGCTCCTCCCCTAGCCCAGCACACGTGCAGGCCTGGGCTGTGTGTGTGTGTGTGTGTGTGTGTGTGTGTGTGTGTGGCGCGGCTCCCTCCCTCCAGGCACTGGGCTGGAGGCCCGTCTCCACCCCCAGCTCGGATTACAGAGACCAAATCTCCAGGAACCACCAGACACAGGGCCCAGGCTGGGGTCTCCCTGAAGCCTGAGTCCTCTGCAGCCTGGGCTTTGTTCCACGGTGGCTCCTTCAGGCCCAGGCGCTGGACAGGGGTCTGAGGCCCCACCCCCAGGCCGGGCCAGGCGAGGCCAGGCCGGGCCCAGCCCTCCCCCCAATCACACAGTAACCAGGGTTGTGCAACAGCAGCTGCGGCCGCGCCAGGCCTGGGAGGGAGGGACCAGCCAGCAGCAGCCAGGGGAGACAAGCTGGGTCCCCAGGCCCCAGCAGGCCAGGCCACAGCCCGCCTCTACCTGAGAAGCCAGCTTTGGGTGTGGGGCACCCAGGAGGGTTTTAGGCAGGGCTAGGAGATGGCCGTCAGAAGCCCTGGGGTTCCTGGACCGTCAACCTCACGTCAGCGGGCAGCCTCTACGGCACAGAGACTGAGAGGGGCCCCCTCCCAGCTCTGCGCTCTGGCCCCCAGAGCTTGGGGGGCGCACGGGGCACGATACACTGATAATTTCTGCTCCACTCCAACAGCGCTGGAGAGCTGGGGAGGGGGGCAGAAACCCCAGGTCCGGGCCCTGACCTGCCCTCCACCAAGACCCCTCCACCCTCCGTGGGGTGGGGCTCGAGAAGGCACGTGCCCGCGCCCCACCCACCACCCCTGCGCACACCAGCGCACGTGTGCGCACGCCCACCTCGGCCTGGCGCGATAGACCCTGGCTCACCTCTGCGCTGGCACAGGGATGTGCGCCGACGGCTTCGGGGGCCCCACCGCCGCCCCCGCCCACGTCCCCGGGACCCCTAGGTTGGCGGCCCGCGGCTCCGGCTCCCGAGGCAGCACGAACTCCAAGCCCGCAAAGCCGCCGCCCACGGCAGGGCCCTGCGGAAGGGGCAGGCTCAGCGCAGGCAGCGGCACGGGGGTTCCCAGCCCCCACCCCGGATCCGCTCCGCACCCGCCCCCCAAACCGGCTGC